CTATAGTCAAGAGGCAACTTCAAGCATACCTCGACATTTCCCTCTGATACTGTAGAGCCTCGGTGGGGACGTTTTATACTAGGTGTTAGGGATTCGTCATATAATCGGAAGTGGATCGTGAATACATGCCATTGATCAAAATAAGCTTCATGACTTTCTTAAGTCTGTAGCTTTTGCAGAAGTACCTTGTTTGTTCAAAGAAAAATTCACCCTTGATTCTTCTCTGTCTACTCTGTAAGCGAGCCCAAACTTCTAGAGACAAAATTATAGGAGCAATCATTAAGCATTTCGGCGGAGGCGAAACCCTCTTTCATATGATTAGTAGCATTTAGAGTCCAGGTCGGGTGCTCGAATATCGAGAAGAACTGTGCCTAAATTGCGACATTGAGTGAGAGTACGGTGATCCTTCCTACTGTGTCAGTTCGCAGTTGCTATTCAGTGGTCTGTAAATTCAGCAACTTTCATTCCTTTGGGGTTATCGTAAGACATTCAATCAGTGCTCAACCAACTTTCAATCAAGGCTCTGCCATTCGGGTTGCTCAAATGCTTCTGTCAGAAAGGCTCAACGTCTAATCATCTCCATTTGGCACGGAGATCGATATCAGTTACACAACAATCATATCAAAAGACAAAATGTTAGTTGTAACATCCATATGAGTGCAGTTTAGTCATCCCCCATCAGTGAATCAGTCGTCACCAGTCCCAACAGGGTAGCTCTCAGAGACTCAATTCGGTATCAATATGTTAGTGTCACTGGCTTCAGGCAAGGGGACCTGTCAATCTATGTTGTTCTTACCAGATTTGCAGGCGGTACCATTTATGACATAAGACTCTATGTAAAAAAAGGTAAGGAGGCCCATGAGTACTTTGACTCAGTCTGGATCTCACCAGATGCATATCTTGAGAGGAAAGAGAAAGACTTTGACAGAAGTGGTACCAAACTGATCTGTAGCTTTGGGCCAAAACTCTATATAGACTACCTCAGGCCTCCAGTACCTTCAACTCTCACAGGCAGCTCTTGCTGGGGTGAAATGGTTGACATGTCCAAGAGATATATCTCGCCTGCAGTGATTGACTACGAGGCAGTAACTAAGTCATCCGGTTCCAACATCTCAAGCAGGGATTTTTTCTCAATCATATCTTCCTACCCTATGAGAAAAATTTTGTGCTATGGTTGACTTTCGTATCATGGGACATGGATGAAAATGCTCAGAACTACCAGGCTTCAACTGACTCTACATTGAGAGACCACAACCTCAGAGGGTACGAAAACTTGGTCGAAAGCACAGGAGACATGCAACAAATGAGAGATTGAGTGTGAGATTCAGAGAGATGAGTGAGGACTCTTGACTAGTCCTGGCTATGCTTTCTTCATGTGTAGTCTCTGAGATTATTTTGAGTTCTCATTCTTCTATTGCTTATCTTGTCATTGCTCGAGTATGTCAGTCTTGCTTCGTTTGCATTGACTCTGCTTGATGATTGCATTCTCTTATGATCCTGTCACAGTTCTTAAAATTAGTAAATCGGCAAAATTGATACATGCATGACATATCAAAATTCTATGATTATTATTTGCATGATTCTATGTTTTTCCGAATCAAAATAAAAGATTCCTAAGACCGGGGACCGACGAAGATCGCAATTGAAGGGTCCGCTCAAATTCGAACGCACACAACATAAAGGAATTTGCTTTATTAAAGTTTATTTAATTTCATTTATTGCAAAATTCATTGAACATCCTGCGTGACAGCTTGTTGGCTTTCTGGTCACCCGAAGAGGCCGGACTGGAAAAAGTGCGACAAAAATGGTGCCGTTGTCGAGGATATGAAAATTTTTCGTGTCCGGAACGAGCCTGGGTCAGTAACAACTTTGAACTTTGATTAGGACTTGAGAACTGTTGACAATATCATGATCTACAGACTGACTCTATTATTTTTATTAAGACATCGTTCTCTTGGAAATTCTCAGTTGCTAACTGGGTCTATCTCTTCATGTGTGAGGTGCTACACTGGACCGAAGGTGAAGACTGACATTACTTATTGGAGAGGATCAGGTTGATTACAGGTATGCCTTATGAGCCCTAGATGTCCTTGAAGAACTGAAAAAGAAGATAACGAGTCAGGGGTTAAGAGATTCCATCAAGAATGATAACTATCGATTCACTGAAAGAGTTATCATAATTTACTATTAAAGTGGTATTCCCCTATCATTATGAGCACTGTTGGGTTTACCACTCTGGCAGTTCGACCATCCGTATAGTGCTGACCCACTTCTTGGAGGAAGATATCTATGGTATTCGTCCCTACGTCAAGAAAGGAGGCTGCAACTATGGTGAAACCTTTAACTGACTATGAGAAATTGTTGTTCAATCTATCTACGATGGAAAGGCAAATCTAACATGGCGAAAGAAGAGAGAGGGATGGGGGTTAATGCCTGTAACCTATGAGACAATTTCAATTCCTCCTATTTCTGAGAGCTACTGTAACGAAAGTAATTGGTTGTCAATAATTAATATGGTACTGAGGTGGAAGACATTAGAAAACTATCATGAGAGCAAAAGAAACTTCAGCAGAGGAAATCAGACAGAGAAGGCTGAAATTTGGCAAAGGCTCAGGTCCAAGCAAGGAAAAAGTCGAGTGTCTCATGAAATCATTGAACACTTTTAGTGAGAAAGAAGTGTTCCCATACAAGATTGTCAAGTATGATATGGTTGAGAGTGGATGAGAGCAGAAACGATTCTATGTCCTGATATTTCACTTTACAGGCCTGGACATATACGATGTAAGAATTTATGTTCCTAAAAAAAGAAGTGTTGATGCTGTGTATGGGAGATGCTGGAGAATTGTTGAGGAAGTTGTATTGAAAGAGAAAGAGAGACTTGAGAGGGAAAATAAGTGCTTCATTGGATCTACTCGGTTTGCGTTCTTTGAGGTATTTCCAGCTCCTCCTTTGCCTGATATTCTGTCAAGGAATAACTGGTCAGTTATGATAGATTTTGTATGAAAGGTGAAGAGGGTTCAAGAAGAATACTCTCAACAGCAAGGATAAATGCTGTGAGAGGCAAACTTTATGAAGTAATTGAGTCCAATAGTCCCTTTGTAATCTTGAGGTACGAGACTTGTGTAAGAGGGCGAATAATATTTCGCATTCCAGTAGTCAAATTTCTGAATGCTAGGCAGCTTGGACGTAAGGATTTACGCTCCGGTATGCACAGAGAACGAAGTTGATTATTTGGAATCCGGGTTGGGAACTTATATCAGTCTTATAAGAACAAAAGAGTGGCTGAAAAAATTACAGAGGAAAGTAACTTGGGGAGAAGAAATAAGGCAATTTGAGAGACTCCCTAATTTTTTAACTACTGATGAGTTTGACGACAGGAGAGACTGGTCGCCTCTTCTGGAAGCCATCGTCATAGTAGGTAATGCAAAAGAGAGTGACTCTACAGTGATGATAAAGTCACTACTTTTTTTTTTTCTTTTTTTTTTCCTACCAACGGTGGCAAACAGATGTACTTTCGTAATGATAAAATGGGACATGCGAAGTCGCCTTCACACTCCATATTACATCAATTCAAGATTTGAAAATTTCCACCCGGGGCCACTAGCTAGCTCGGACAAGATCACTCCGACCGCGAACCAATCCATAAACCCAAGCCCGCTGTCTCTCTGCTGCTGTCTCTCTGCCTCCGATTACCGTACAACCATTTGTCGTCAAATACAACCACCCCGGGGATCTATGTTCACCAACGGAGGCAAACAGATGCACTATCGTGATGATAAAATGGGAAATGCGAAGTAGCCTTCACAATAAACAAGGCCGGGACGATCGGCGGTAGAAAGGACCTCCCCTTGTCACCATACACCAGCTATACGTCACCATGTGTTCTAATCACGTACTCAGTCAGGAGGGCGCGGCGGATACATACAACCTCGCGGCAATGAGGGGAAAACCCACCAGCCTGCCCCCCTTCCTACTTGACGACCAACAATCTGAAGGAGTGCAATCACGTAACAGTCTCTATTGAGGCAGGAAACGAGCCGACGACCAGCTTATACCCAAGGGCTTTCTTCTCCCCATCATGGACTATCCTTAACTCGTTGCTTCGGCCTCTGCCGTCTTCGCCCCACACTCTCGGGCGAATGAAGGGAAACACTCGCGCGGTAGTGTTCCACAAGAGACACGACGAAGAAAGTACAGATAGCACTGCCTTTGCCACGCCTCAATTTCTCCGCGAATCTAAAGAGTTAATTAATTCACAGCCGCCCCCAACCAGAAAACCTCCCCTGTTGGAAGAGTCCCTCGCTAGGTGCGCAGGACAGATTTTCCAAGCATCAAATCAACATGTGACCCGACGAAGCAAGCGTTGCCATTCTACACAGCAAGAACGACTGCCATCTCGAGCGACATCCCTAAGATGCAGATGGAAACTGACGCTTTCAAAGAAAGAGATGACGAGAGAAGATGACCGAATTTGCCACACGCATCTCTGCACGGAAAAGCGTGCTCTCGTACATACTCGCTGTAATGAGAAGCCTGAAGTGCGGAGGAGAACCATGCGGAGGAGAGAAAACCACTCAAAGGCAAGGAGTTCTGGGAAGGCTTGTTCATGGCAGAACTCCTGCCAGTACGCAAAAAAAACTAAATGTAATCCCCAGAGACTTCCCAAAAAACCACAGAAAACAGAGAAAGAGAAGAACTAGCTTCCACAAAGAATAATGAGGCATATAATTCAACTGAAACGAGAAGACCACCTCGCATATGGGGGGGGGGGAAATGGTCAATTAGGGGTTATGCTCTGCGTCAACGAGGCTAAACCCTTCCATCTCTCTCTCTCTCTCTCTCTCTCTCTCTCTCTCTCTCTCTCTCTCTCTCTCTCTCTCT